ACTACGACTACTACTACTACTACTACTACTACTACTACTACTCTACTACTACTACTACTCTACTACTACTACTTACTACTACTACTACTACTACTACTACTACTACTACGACTACGACTACGACTACGACTACGACGACTACTACTACTACTACTACTTCTTCTACTACTACTTCTACTACTATGTGCTACTACATTGCTTTCAGCACTCTTCAAGATGGGCGTTTCTGTGGCCGCTTCTTCTGGGCCGGAATGCAGCCCTCTGAGAGCTACTACTGCTACATTGCTTCCAGCACGCATCAAGATGGGCGTGTCTGTGGCCGCTTTTTCGGGGCCGGAGTGCAGCCCCCTGAGAGCTGCCCAGGAGGTCTGCAGCCATGCCAGGAGCAAGTCCGACACTGCCATGCCAAGAGCCAGTGGGGAAGCCGGCGCCAGGCCACACGAACGCACGAACCCTGGCCACGCGAGCACGCGGTCGCGCCGGCACGCCCACCGAGGCGCTGGCGCACCGCGGGCCCGAGGCACGCTTATGCGATCGGGGTCGATACAGAGGTGAGAAAATCCACCCCCATAATAACCACCATAATAAGTCACCATGATAACCATAATAAGTCACCACAATAACCACCATAACAAGTCACCGTAGAGGACAAATAATCCACCCCCATTCTGACCCAAATCCACGCCCATGATAACCACCCCGACACGCGAAGTCGTTTAGCAAAAGCGCCCAAAGAAGGAACCGAGCAGGGCAACGCTGCTTAGCAAGCGCCCAGGGCCGTTTCATAAACGCTAATCGTCCGGTCCGGGTGGTTCCTCCTCCCTTGAGGAAAGGAACGCGAGACCTGCGAGACTTCCGGGTGCCCGCCACGATGTGAAAGGGCAGAAACAACTTCATAAACATCAGCATTCGGAGGGCTTCGCGGAATTCTCCTGTCGGCGATGGGCCCCTCTGACCTCCGACAGTTCATGCCAAAACCGCCTTTCTGCTCCGATGAGACTCCCCCTCCCTCAGCCTCACAATCCCTGAGCCTCACCCTGAGGCTCATCACCCCCTTGATCCTCCCCTGCGCGCCCCCCCCCCCCTGAGCCTCACCCCTCTGAGCTGCCTCTCCCCGAGCCTCAGGCACTGAGAATCGTTTATCCGACCCCCATCCCCAGCGGCGTGGCCTGGGCCCCACTGGCCGATTAAACCCCCTAGATGGGGATATAGGCCGTTCCTTTCGGGTTTGGGTGTATCCCCAACTGGGGTGTCAGTTTGGTGGGGGTCTCGAAGGAGATGGGCATGGGGATGGGGATCGGTTGAACGGTACCGATCTTCCCAGACCCCCGATATCGCAGCTCTTGCTCACGGCGCTGCTCCCCGGGGAGGTCTGGGCCTTTTCCCAGGGCCCCAGCTATCCGTGCGGGGTCGCCCAGGAGCCGGACATTGCCCCAGACCGTCCGCTGGGATTTTTCACGATGCGAGGATATCGAGCTGTGGGCTTAGGTCGGGCATGTCCCACTACAGGCGGATTTGGGACGAAACGAATACAAATATATTCAAAAAGTATTCACAAACAGTCAAGAATGATAGAACATTCCTCCCCAGACTATTTCTTTCCTATGTTTGAGTATTCCTCCTGTAAAAACACAGGCCCGACTTCACTCCGGGCGTTGCAAACCGCTCCCTGGTCCTGTCCCGAGATGCGCTCTGGCCGACTTTCGGGGCGGACTCGAACCCGTGGCGACGCGAAGCCCACTGGAGGCCCCGGGAGGCGCATCGGAGGCCCGTGCTCGACCCTGCGAAGACGCCAAGACGCGAGCACGCCCGTGCCTGCCGCGCCGCCCCTGGGAAGCGCGGGAGGCCCCGCCGGGCCGCGGGGCCACCGAGGGGCAGTGCCCATAGGGGAGGAGCGGCTCCCGGGGGAGACATCGAGCTCGCATCGTCGGCGACAGGCTCCAGAAGGCGAGTGCTCCCGGTCCCGTCCATGGGGCCCTGGGGTACGCAAATGAATATACTTTCCTATATTTCCCAACCATCCTGTGGTGTTGGGCCCTCGTTTTGAAGAGACGATGCCCCGCGTTCCTCCTTCCTTCCTTCCTTCCTTCCTTCCCTCCTCCCCCTCCTCCTACTCCTCCTCCTCCTCCTCCTCCTCTTCTTCCTCCCTCCTCCCTGCGTTTCACCCACCCAGTACAACGTTTCGTGGCCCCACAGGGAGCTCCACCGAAGGCCCCAGTGGCAGGATTCGTATGACGGCCCCGCCCCATTTTGGCGCACCCCCTTACACGGTTCGTGGCCCCATGGGGAGCTCCACCGAAGGCCCCAGTGGCAGCGTTCGCATGGCGGCCCCGCGTTTTGGCGCACCCGTCACACGGTTCGTGGCCCCATAGGGAGCTGCACCGAAGGCCCCAGTAGCAAGGTTCGCATGGCGGCCCCGAAACATTTTGGCGCACCCCTCACACGGTTCGTGGCCCCATAGGGAGCTCCACCGAAGGCTCCAGTGGCAGGGTTCGCATGGCGGCCCCGCGTTTTGGCGCACCCCCCACATTGTTCGTGGCCCCATAGGGAGCTCCAACGAAGGACCCAGTGGAAGGGTTCGCATGGCGGCCCCGCGCCATTTTGGCGCACCCCTCACACGGTTCGTGGCCCCATAGGGAGTCATCGAAGGCCTCAGTGGCAGGGTTCGCATGGCGGCCCCGCCCCATTTTGGCGCACCCCTCACACGGTTCGTGGCCCCATAGAGGGCTCCCCCGAAGGCCCCAGTGGCAAGGTTCGCATGGTAGCCCCGCTTCATCTTAGCGCACCCCTCACACGGTTCGTGGCACCATAGAGGGCTCCACGGAAGGCCCCAGAGGCAGGGTTCGCATGGCGGCCCCGCGCTATTTTGGCGCACCCCTCACACGGTTCGTGGCCCCATAAGGAGCTCCACCGAAGGCCCCAGTGGCAGGGTTCGCATGGCGGCCCCGCGCCATTTTGGCGCACCCCCTCACACGGTTCGTGGCCCATAGGAAAGTCCCCTTGCTTCGTCCCACCTGCCTTGCGGTTCTCACACTTGCGTATGGTTGGGTCTTTCGCCAGGATCATGTTCCATACTTTTCCATTTTCTCTGGGTTTCCCATACCGTCCATATTTTCCATATTTTTATGTTTTCTCATATTTGTCAAGATTTTTTTTTCCCCATGACAGGATTCCCCCTACTTTCCCACATTTTCGGGTTTTTTGTCCTCCCCCCACTTCCCATAGTTTCCCATATTTTCGGGGGGATCGAGTCTGTGTGTTTTCTTCCCTCCCGATCCTGGGCCCGGTGGGTTATCAGGCACCTGTCGTTAGGTCAGGCATGTCCCCCTACAGGTGGATTTGGGAAGAAAAATGAGAAGTAGTCCAAACAAGACATGACAAATTGTCAAAACACAATAGCAAACTTGTCCCCAGAGTATTTTTCCGAACAATCCTGTGGTGTTGGGTCCTCGTTTTGAAGAGACGGTGCCCCGCGTTCCTCCTCCTCCTCCTCCTCCTCCTCCTCCTCCTCTCCTCCTCCCCCTCCTCCCTCCTCTCATCACCATCATCATCACCATCACAATCACCATCACCATCACCATCACCATCACCATCACCAACATCATCATCATCATCATCATCATCATCATCATCATCATCATCATCATCATCATCAGCATCATCATCATCATCAGCATCAGCATCAACAACAACAACAACAACAACACCAACACCACCACCACCATCACCATCACCATCACCATCACCATCACCATCACCATCACCATCATCACCACCATCATCATCATCATCATCATCATCATCATCATCAGCAGCATCATTGTCAACATCATCGACTTCATCGACATCATCGACGTCATCATCACCACCATCATCATCATCATCGTCATCATCATCATAACCCATTTCGGCACACTCCTCACACGCTTCGTGGCCCCATATGGAGCTCCACCGAAGGCCCCGGTGGCAGAGTTCGGATGGCGGCCCCGCCTCACTTCGGCACACTCCTCACGAGGATCGCGGCCCCATAGGGAGCTCTACCGAAGGTCCCAGTGGAAGGGTTCGCATGGCGGCCCCACGGTTTGGCGCACCCCTCACACGGTTTGTGACCCCCGTAGGGAGCTCCGAAGACCCCAGTGGCAGGGTTCGCATGGCGGCCCCGCCCCATTTTGGCGCACCCCTCACACGGTTCGTGGCCCCATAGGGAACTCCACCGAAGGCCCCAGTGGCAAGGTTCGCATGGTGGCCCCGCGTATTGGCGCACCCCTCACACGGTTCGTGGCCCCATAGGGAGCTCCACAGAAGGCCCCAGTGGCAGGGTTCGCATGGCGGCCCCGCGTTTTGGCGCACCCGTCACACGGTTCGTGGCCCCATAGGGAGCTCCACAGAAGGCCCCAGTGGCTGCGCTCGCATGGCGACCCCACCCTATTTTGCCCCACCCCTCACACGGTTCGTGTCCCCATAGGGAGCTCCACCGAAGGTCCCAGTGGCAGGGTTCGCATGGCGGCCCCGCGCCGTTCTGGTGCACCCCTCACACAGTTCGTGGCCCCACAGGGAGCTCCACCGAAGGCCACGGTGGCAGGGTTCGCATGGCGACCCCACCCTATTTTGGCGCACCCCTCACACGGTTCGTGGCTCCGTAGGGAGCTCCACCGAACGCCTCAGTGCCAGGGGTCGCATGGCGGCCCCGCCCCATTTCGGCGCACCCATTACACGGTTCGTGGCCCCATAATTAGGGAGCTCCACCGAAGGCCCCAGTGGCAGGGTTCGCATGGCGGCCCCGCCCCATTTTGGCGCACCCCTCGCACGGTTCGTGGCCCCGTCGGGAGCTTCACCGAAGGCCCCAGTGGCAGGGTTCGCATGGCGGCCCCGCCCCATTTTGGCGCACCCCTCACACGGTTCGTGGCCCCATTGGTCATTCCCCTTGCTTCGTCCCACCTGCCCTGCAGTTCTCACACTTGCGTCTGGCTGTCTCCTTCGCAAGGATCATTGGACAATTTCCGAATACCCCTCCTGCAGAGAAACACGCCCGACTTAAACCTATCGGTGATCCGTTGGTGATTGGAGGCCTATGCGTCCCGTCATGAGCTTATGTCGTGTCGGGCGAAAGGGGGGGATAGCAAAGGGGGGGTTTGAGAATCAGCTCACGTAGCTGATTTTCCCGGCGCCGGAGGCGGCCATGTATCGAGGAATGGGCCCCTCAGTGGGGCCGAAACCAGCTGCATGCAGCAAATTTCGTACCCCCCCCTTTCCCAATCCCCCCCTTTCGTCTGGCCCCATTATGCCCCCCTAAAGTTGCCTCCTGGCTGTGGGGTCATAGCTCGACTCTCTGGTGGCCGTCCGGAACGATCCGGGCACCCCCAGAACGCTCTCGGCGAGGCGCAACTGCTGGAAGGCATCCCGAGGCTGGAGAGCCGCCGAAAACGAGACTCGAATCCCCGGGGGCCTGCGCCGCAGGGGGCGCAGCGGCCGCGGGCTTCCGTAGCTGTGCCAGTGACACGTCACGCACACACACACGCACACAAACGACACCGACCCAGCACCAACAAGAGGCTTTAACGGTGCATATTCCCCAGGAATCCACGAACACGTCCGAAAACCTCGGACCTCGAAGCCGTTCGAACCCCACCCCCACCCCTCCTTCCCCCCCGCTCCCCTGGGCCTCTGCCCATGGGGCCACGGAGCCCCGGCGGGGCTTCGCAGGAGCGGGCGCCCGCGCGCTCCTCGCGCGACGCCTCGGCGCGCTCCGACGGCAGCTGCACGCGGTACACCTCCCCAGCCGCCCCCCCCTTCCCCGGCAGACCTCCAGAGACTCAAGAGAAAAATCGGGAACGAGGCCTTCCTTCCGCCACGTTCCGCAAAAAGAAACCAAGACCGGGATAAAGCCGGACCTGGCTACATCGGGGATCTCTGAGATCCCGCGATCCTGGAGCGGATCTGCAGGATGCACCGGGCGCCGCGGCCGGAAGAGAGCGCTCTCGAAGAGAGCGCTCTCAAAGCGCTCCGGAATGCTCTGGAACGATTTGTCCTGGCCCCGCCTGGTCCAGGGGCCGCTTCCGGGCCCTGGGACCGTCAGATGCGGTTCGGGATGCAAGCCTGGACCCAGGGATGGGATCGAGGGGTGCGCGGCTGGCCACTTGCACCAATCGAGCGTCGTCGTCGTCGTCGTCGTCGTCGTCGTCGTCGTCGTCGTCGTCGTCGTCGTCGTCGTCAAACTCTGAGAGGTGCCAGGACGCCAAACATTTGAAAATCTTGCAAATGTGCCCGCGGTGGGAACTCGGAGAAGACGCGCTCAAGGCCTACGCGGCCGAGGGCAAGGCGACCCACCACACGGGGATCGCCCCGCCTGGGTGGCTTGAGGAGGACTTGGCCCTGTGGGTAGAATCCCCAAGCCGCCGCTGATGGGCTTTGCGCAAGGAGGGACGGTGCGTAGCTAGCACTTTGGCCCCCGCCCTTCCCCGCCCTCCTCGCCCTGCCCTCCTTCCCCTCCCTCCCTCCAGCTCCGTCCAAGTCATAATTACTCGGCGCGCAACAGGGGGATGGCGGGAGGGAGGGAAACTTCTTCGAAGGACGTTGCTTCTTAGAAGACGCGGGCCTTACATCTATAGAAAAGCCCGCGCCTTCTAAGAAGCATGAGTGATTCCAAGAAGCCCTCCCCCTAACCCCACCCCACTCTGCACGTGGCCGAATAATGAGCATGCAGATGATTCAGGCGGCCACGGTTTCGCAGGGCGAGAGGCTGCAGATCAGAGTAAGGGGCCGAACTGTCATTCACTGTCCCTGGGTGGCTGAAGTGGGGATCTACGGAAAGAATTCTGCTTGTTTTGTTGCGTCGTCCCCCCCGCGACCCGCCCGCGACCCAACCGCGACCCACCCAATGACCCGCCCACGACGCACCCGCGATCCACCCGCGACCCACCCCGCGACCCACCCGCGAACCACCCGCGACCCGCCCGCGTGTTAAGGCCCAGTAGTGCGACCGGCGTGCTGACCCCCCCCCTTCGCGACAAAGGGTGCGTCGCGCATTCGTCGCCCGTGCGTCGGCCGCCGAAAAAACCAGCCGTCCTCTCGAGCGCGTCGCCCTCGCAAGGGGGCAATTCGGCGAGTGCGTCGCCAGCGCGGCGGGCACCCGCGGGGCGGATCGCACGCGCGTCGCCCGCTTCACGGCCGCCGACAAGGCTGGTCGCCTTCGGGGAAACAAATCGCCCACGCTGCGGCCCTCTGGGCGAGAAGGCGGCCGCTGGGCTACCTTGGCAGATCAGCAAATTCCTCTAACATTGCACATGCCGCGATGCTGCTGAACGCACTCCAGCGCCAGGCCAGCGGTTCCCCGCAACCGCCGCCACAGCCGCCGTCAACGCCAGGACTACCCCCGCCACGATCACCACAAACGGACGCGACCGCAACCACGTCCACCGCGACGATTACGACCGCCACCATTTACCGCCACCACCACCACGAACACTACGTTTTTCGCGACCACCACAACGTCCGACACCAGCACGGTCACCGACGTGACCACCACCAGCCCGCCCACCACCAGCAGCGCGACCATCACCAGCGCGACCAAGGCGACAAACGCGACCACGAGCACGAACACCAACATGACCATTACAGAAGCACCCGCCCGCTCCGTCCTCCCCCCTCTCCTCCCCATTCCCCTGCCGGGCCGCCCTTGCCGCTGCGCCCGCCTCGCGCCCCTGCCCCTCCCCCCCTCATTTTCTCCTCGTAATCTTCCTCTTCCACCGCCAGCGGCGGGGCCATTCGCGGAAGGCGGGGCGCCGCTCGCGGCGACGCGCCGAAACCGCGAAAGGGGGACCCGAGGAGAAGAAATAAAATGAAGAGGGACACGGGGTGGCATGGGGGGAAAAAAAACGAGAGAGGAGAGGAGAGGGACAGACAGAAGGGGGCTGGGAGAAAGGGGGAGGAGAGGGGGAGGAGGGGGGGGGGACGAGGCAGGAGGGAGGACGAAGGAGGAGGAATGACGAAGGAGGAAGGGCGACGAGGAAGGAAAAGGGAAGGAACAGGGGCGAAGCGCCGTCCTTCCTGGCGCAATTGAAGACGCAGCCGCGGCCACAGGTGAACAGCGCAAGCACGGCGGGCCGACGGCCGTTGCGCATTGCTCTTCGGAGAAATGCTAGGGGCGGGCAAGGTCGCGACTGCGTCGCGCATGCGTCGCGCGTGCATCGCGCGTGCGTCGCGCGTGCGTCGCTTCTCGCGCGTGGCGCGTGTGTCGCGCGCGCGTCGCGTGGGTCGCTCGTGCGTCGCGCGACGGCAGGGGTGCGTCGCGCGCGGGTCGGGGTGCGTCGCGCGCGTGTCGCGCGTGCGTCGCGCGTGCATCGCGCGCGCGTCGCTCGGGTCGTTCGCGCGTCGCGCGCGCGTCGCGCGCGAGTCGCTCGAAGGGCCCCGTGGGCCCATCACATCATGTGAACTGCACGGCCCGATGGCGAAACAATCAAGGGATGGGCGCGACAAGCACAAACACAGCGAAACGCGCGCGTGAGAACTACGAACGCGAAGTGACCAATAGACGACATGGAGATGCAGCGCGCACGGTGTAACCCATTCCAAGCGCACGCCCCGTCAGAATTTGAACATCGGCTCGTCGCTGCAAGTGAGGCGAGGGAAAGGCGGGCGGAAGAGTGAGCGGACGGGCGAGGAAGGGGCGCGCAGGGGCGGCGCAGCGGCGGCGGGAGCGATGGAAGGTAATCGAACGGGAGCGGCGGGGGCGAGGAGGGCGAGAAGGAAGTTCCAGGAGGGTGGAAGGACAACGGGGGGTGAGTAGGGAGGGAGACAGGACGGCAGCCTGATACACAAAAACCGCCAACGAGACAAAAGAAAGCGCGCGGCGCGTTGGACGAGGGGAAGAGAAGGAAGAGGGGGAGGGGCAAGAGGATTGGCGCGAAACGACATGGGGGTGCGGGGCGCGACGCGGCGGGGCGAAGTGGCGCCGCGTCGCGCGACGTGACGTCACCCCCGCGGTGGCGCGACGCGCGCAGCCCCCCTATCAACGCGAGGCGTCTTCGTCCTCAGCAACGGTTGGCGCGCCCCGAAAATACGCACCAGCGAATCCTCTTGCGCCGAATGGGAAAAATAACCCGTAGGTGGACCGTCGAACTAGAAAGCGCCACGACCGCCAAAATGGCTGCTAGTGCACTGGCGTCGGAAACCTAAAAGTCGCCAGCACTCCGAAGTCGCGCCGTATGTCGCCCACGCACTCTGGGAGGTCGGGATTCGGGACAGAGACGCAAACCAGGGCCGGCGCACGGGCGACGCACGGACAAAACTTAAAGGTGGGTGGGTCGCATTCCTGGGCCTGAACACGCCCACGATCCACCCGCGACCCATCCGCGACCCACCCGCGACCCGCCAGCGACCCAACAGCGACCCGCCCGCGACCCAACCCGCGACTCAACCCGCGACCCACCCGCGAACCATCTGCGAACCACCCGCGACCCACTCAGAATGCTTTAGCGAAAACCGGCGCCTGCGGCGGGCTCGTTGTATACTTTGTGACAATTAGGCGCCTGCGGCGTGCTTCTTCAGAGCCTCGCATACTGCAAACGCCCCCGCCGCCCCCCAGTTCTGATCCGCGACTGCGGGGGGCTACGTATCTTGTTTGGTTGAGCCGTCGCTGCAAGCGCGCCGGCGCCCTCGGCGCTGCGCTCGGGTGAGCGCGGCGCCCGCCCGCGCGCTCCAGACGCGGCAACGGCGTTTTTTCCCCATATCCTAAGATGGGGTTCTTGTTATTACTTGGACGCCTCCTACTCTTCCTCCTCCCTCCTCCTCTTTTCTCCTCCCCTCCTGTCGGACTTACTCATACACAGACTTACTCATACTCCGATTTACTCATACGCAGACCTACTCATACTCAGACTTACTCACACTCAGACATACTCATACACAGACTTACTCATACACAGACTTACTCACACCCAGACGTACTCATACACAGACTCACTCATACCCAGATTTACTCATACACAGTATTAGTCATACTCAGACTTACTCATACCCAGACGTACACATACACAGACTTTCTCATACACAGACCTACTCATACCCAGACTTACTCATACACAGACTTACTCATACACAGACTTACTCATACTCAGGCATACTCATACTCAGACCTACTCATACTCAGACTTACTCAACACACATCAGATTTGGAGGATGTCTCAGGCGGGGCGCTCGTTTCAGCACCCCTAAGGGGAGCCGCCAGGGGTGATTGCACGGGTTCGTTCGCGGCCATTTTGTGGGGATGTCTCAGGCGGTTTGCCTGTTTCTGGGCTCAACATCCTTCGCTTTCGGAGCAGATTTGGAGGATGTCTCGAGCGAGGCGCTCATTTTCACCCCCCAGGTGGGCCAGATTTTGAGGATGTCTCGATCGGTTTGCTTGTTTTGGTGGCCAGGCTCGTGGCCCTAAGGGGAGCCGCCAGGGGTGGTTGCACGGGCTCGTTCGCGGCCATTTTGTGGGGATGTCTCAGGCGGTTTGCTTGTTTCTGGGCTCAACATCCTTCGCTTTCGGAGCAGATTTGGAGGATGTCTCGAGCGAGGCGCTCATTTTCACCCCCCAGGTGGGCCAGATTTTGAGGATGTCTCGATCGGTTTGCTTGTTTTGGTGGCCAGGCTCGTGGCCCTAAGGGGAGCCGCCAGGGGTGGTTGCACGGGCTCGTTCGCGGCCATTTTGTGGGGATGTCTCAGGCGGTTTGCTTGTTTCTGGGCTCAACATCCTTCGCTTTCGGAGCAGATTTGGAGGATGTCTCGA